TTTTAATAAATATTTGGACTCTATTTTAAATTTTCTCTTGTGAGAATAAATCTTCAATGGATGTTTGGTATGTTTTAATAATTAGAAAGAATGAAAGAAAGAAAGAAAAAAAAAATATTTGGCAACAAACTAAATCATCTCTATGTTCATGTTTCATACATTCATTGATATGAATTTTTCTATTTTTTACACATAAAAGCAAATTCAGAACAATTTTTTTTGTTATTCTTATTTCTAGGTATTAAAGCAATAAAAATAAGCTATGCATAACCCGTGCGCAAAAATGCTGTAGACAGTTGTTATTACAGAATATTAGCAGCTGATTTGTTTTATAAATTGCTAAATTTTTAAGCCTATTATTTATAAAACAAAGTTTCTGAGTTATTTAAGGCCCAGAACAGACGGTGAAACGCGACTGCAACGAAACTAGTTATTTTTGAGTTGCATCTAAGTTTTGAAAGGTTCAAACTGGTCGCGTCATGTGTGGTCTCTCAACGGACGCTATGGCAGAAACTTAGATGCAACTCAAAAGTAACTAGCAGTTGCAGTTTCGTTGCAGTTGCGTTTCACCGTCTGTTCTGGGTCTAACCAACAGGCAAAAATCGTAAGGCGAGCAAGATCTGCCCACAACAATACAAACTCCTGACGACCACGACTATCAAGAGTGCCACGACTGAGAAGAAGAAGAAGATCAGTATCCAACCAAAATAAACATTGTCAATTTTCTTGACGTTTCTTTTCGTAAACTGTCCACAATCTGATATCAGTATCAAATAAACGGAGGCTCGATTAGTCGCAGGAAAGGAGGAAAATGCTACGAAAATACCACCTTTAGGGGAATTACCTCAGCAAATATGAAGTAAAAGAGTATTTCCTGTTATATTATGCTATGTTATGTCTGTGTATTATTATGTCCATTTACTAGAAATACTATATTGTCGGAAAAATAGCTATATTTTATTATAAAAATGATTGAATAATCTACCTAAAAGATCTACGTAAACCAAAATATCGAAATGGTAAGTTACGAATATTGTTTGTTTCAAGAAATCTGTTCCTATTTATTTATGAATGTTCTGTGTTTCTATTCCATAAATATAAACGAAAGTCGACCTATTTTTTCCTAACCTAATAGAATCATTCATTGTTTTACATACACCAATGTTATGAAATCACAATGAAAACAAGCGCAAATAGCATAAATAACATTTTAATCCACTTTTTCTATATCATTTTCGCCATTTCACCTCCAACATTACCTAGTTTCAGTACGATAAATTACTTTTTGGGTCCAGACTTGAGTTAGTGTTATCACTAACAATGGGACCAGATTCCCCGCGCCACATAATCTGACATTTTACGAGCCTTGAGTTAGTTAAGACTAAGTATGACGCTGAAATATTTTTTTAAGGAATGCCCACTTTTTTTATTACTTTTCCTTTAATTCTGTGGTAAGTATTACTCTGTGAATGTACCAAAATGATGCAATAAACGTTTGTGACTATAACTATACATTCAGCTAAGAATATATTGTATACTAGCTTTCCGCCCGCGGCTTCGCCCGCGTGGAATTTTGTCTGTCACAGAAAAACTTTATCGCGCGCGTCCCTGTTTCAAAAACCGGGATAAAAACTATCCTATGTTCTTTCCCAGGACTCAAACTATCTCTATGCCAAATTTCATCAAAATCGGTTGCGAGGTTTAAGCGGGAAAGCGTAACAGACAGACAGACAGACAGAGTTACTTTCGCATTTATAATATTAAGTTGGGATAGTTGGGATTGGGATGTACAGAAGTTTTTTAAAGAATTTTCACCATTCATTCACCATATCAAATCAAATCATTTATTAATTCATTACCATTTGCCGAAAACCTTAGCTTCGATCTCTTAAATTATTGTCTTGCCTGTGCCGTTATGATAGATGTTACTTATCATTCTTTTTTATAACAAATGACGTTCTACTTATGCAGAAGATTTGAAATCAATAACTAAAATGATATTTTTAGACCTTAATGAAACTAAAGCAGGTCAGCTTCAGCTTAAAATACCTTTCTTAATAGTCTTTTGAGCGCTGCAAGAGCCGTGGGTCAATCATAATTAATTTCGTCCAAAATTTCTCAAGCGGCTATTAATTTACTACAAAATTAATGATACTTACTACCATTGTTCCTTGCCTTTGAACAAATTTTAGCCCAAAGCAACTCGCCTTTAAGCTGGATGCAAATATAGAGCTAAGCTTCGCTAAAGCTAAGCAAATAATATACTGAACTAAATAAATAAAAAGTAAGTAGTAGACGCTCGTATGTAAGTAGTTTCCTGTAGTAACTCTAACCATATCAACTTAGCTTGAATATGGTTTAAAACTTGCAAAAATAGATCACTTCAAATGGGAATATACCCATAATAAGCTTTTATCGCACCATTTTAAGCGTCAACCCATGTATACATTTGTCAACACAAATCATCGGCAAGATTTTGTCACGGCGCGCATCCAAGCCCAGCGGGTTTGCTCTGACCAAACTGAGTCATTAATCTGTCAAAATAAAATTATAGTTACACCTATGTAAGTATTTCATCATTGAGATATTCGTTATTAAAATTTATTAGCGAACTAGCTTTTGCCCGCGGCTTCTCCCGCGTGAAATTTAGTTTTTTACAGATAATTATAAATTATAGCCTATAATGTTATTCTGGGTTATAAGCTATAATACTGCAAAGTTTCATCAAAATCCGTTCAGTAGTTTTTGCGTGAAAGAGTAACAAACATGTTGACATCCAGAAATCCATACAAACTTTCGCATTTATAATAAGTAGTAGGATTGAGTCGCTTCCCAAACTAAATTTAAAATAAAACCGAACTCGAACTCGGACCCGTAGTCCCAGTTTTTTGATTCATAGTTAAAATAACTAATTGTTAAATTTTGCTACTAATGGTTAAATATTAACAAACTGTAAACTAATGGTTAAAAAATGTACTAAAAGTCAGACTAACCATTGTTCGAAAAACATTTTTTTCTGATATTTAACCACTTGTCACTTGACATCTGTCAAATTTAACTATTGGTTATTTTAACTACGAATCAAAAAACTGGGCCTTAAGTAGCTCAGTTGGAAGATCAGTCGCCCGGCAAGCGGAAGGTCGTGGGTTCGAGTCCCGCCTTAGGCAGTTCGATTTTTTCAAGTTGTTTATTTAAAACATTTAGATATTATTTGCATTGTAAATGACCTTCGTCCTGTTCTTCAACCGAGTTTATTTATACCCTTGATCGGTGTGTTTACGGGAATGACGTTGTCCCCAGCGACCCATATGAGTTTGTGGATAGAAATAAAGGCGCTGATTTATACTTACTTAGCCTGTTTATGTGTATTGTTACAGTGATGCCACCGTTTATGCCTTGTTTTGCAATAAAGTTATCTTTAATGTTACGATACGTTGGCAACTAAGCGACATTTAACGAGAAAGACTGAGGTCTAGATAGGAAAGCAGGCATTTTAAGTTAATCCACTTTTGTATTCACAAAGCCAAATACCTAACCTTTTTAAAAAAACTTTTTTTTTTCGGAGCGTGGGCTTAGTTAGATTTGATATAGAGTGTAATAAATACCTACACATAACTGATATTAAAACTGAGAATCATAAATACATAGACTAGTTAAATGTACCTATTGTGGAAGAATTGTACCTACACTTACTTATGCGAATAACAAAAACAAGATAAGAAAATGTTTCGAACTGTACATTCATTCGTTTTCAGTTTTATTTGAAGCTACATAGATAGAGTCGTAAAATCAATTTTATTTATTTCGCAGAATTCGCTCATCATTGAAATGGGCCTTTGAATCGATTCTATTAAAAATAGGACGCTTTTGTGGGGTAACCAAAATTTGGGGAAAATAATCCTCTCGCCTTTACTTATCGAACAGCCAAAGAATTTGAAAAAGACGTTTTATGCCCAAATAAATGTTTATAAATGTTTTTATTTATTTATTTTCACCAACTTAAACTAATATAATGATTGAACTCAGTGGTCTGAATAGGTATGTCTTGAGTTACGCCTAAGTCCAGCCGTTGACAAAATGTGGGTTGATGACGTCATTCTTTTCGCTAAACTACACAACTAAGGTTGAGTTGCACCACCTAACTTTGACGGTAACTATGACGATAACCGGTGCTTTTTGTATGGAGATTGACAGATTTTTGACGTTTGTCAAAGTTAAAGTAAGATGGTGCAACCCAGCCTTACTATCACAGCTGCTATTATTTCCAATTGAACTTTCACGTCAACCGCCCCGATTTATCTCCACATTTAGAAAGAAAGATGTCTGCGATAAAATATTTCTTCGTATCTTTTACCCGCGGCTTCTCGCGGTTTATTTTCAATTGCGATTTAATGTCCCCGGGGAATCCTTTGATGTAGGGAAAATGAGGCTTTTTGTATTACGATGTATTTATTTTGTACGTACTTATTAATAGCTGACAACTGGATGGCAGTTGTCAGTCATTGTTTACTCGTATATTGACAAACATTTTATATACTTCCAAGGCCTTTGTGTTGGAGAGTTTCTTCGAAAAGCCGTCCTGACACGTTTTTCGCTGAAGAACATAATTAAACGTAATTTTTAGGTTTATTTAAGAGGTAAGAGATTCTTGTTACTGAGTTTATTTTGCCACTTCTTAGCACCAGCCGGTAGAGCGAGTTATACAGTGTGAGTCACGTTAAAGTGTACATATGAAAATAGATGAAACTAGACCTATTTTTATCGACAAAAAAGAGGTCAAAAATTTTTTGAGATTTTTTTTAAATTTTTNTTTCGGGGGCCCTCACCACTTAAGCACAACTCCGTCGAAGTCGAAAACTTAGGGGAGTCTTAATGGGCAACCAATGAAGCCATTAAAACAATAAAATCTTTTGTAGGAATTATTTCCGATTTAAAAGCTAATTCTACTGGACTAGAAGTAAAAGATAATGGAGTTAATAATACTTTATTTCTCTTCCCAGTCTCGGCCAACACTTGCGCGCGTTAGCCGACGCAGGTGGAGGCCCGGCCTCCGATGGAGCCCTAGCCCGGGCCTCCCTTAGCGGAGGCGAGCTGGTCCCTGAGGAGCTGGTCAACAAGGTCGTGAGGGGCGCCATGAACGAAGCCTCGAGGAACGACCAGGGACTCGTGTTGGAGGGATACCCGAGGGACATGGAGCAGGTGGATCATTTCCAGAAAGAGGTGAGTCAATCCAAAATCATGATTGGGTCAGTTTTATTCTAAGAACAGCTCGATTACTGAGGCGAGCTGGTCCCTGAGGAGCTGGTCAAGAGGGTCGTGAGAGGCGCCGTGAGCGAAGCGTCAAGGAACGACCAGGGGCTCGTGTTGGAGGGGTACCCGAGGGACATGGAGCAGGTGGAACATTTCCAGAAAGAGGTGCGTAATTTGGTGTCTTATAAGTATACAAGTTAGTTCCGGAGGAGCTGGTCAACAAGGTCGTGAGGGGCGCCGTGAGTGAGGCGTCGAGGAACAACCACGAGCGCATGATAGGTGGACCATTTTTAGAAAGAGGTGCGTGGTCAAGATCATGATTTAGTTAGTTTTGTATGTAGGCGAGCTGCTTTCTGAGGAACTGGACAAATAAGGTCGTGAAGGCGCCGTCAGTGAAGCCTCAAGGAACGACCAGGGGCTCGTGTTGGAGGGATACCTGAGGGACATGGAGCAGGTGGATCATTTCCAGAAAGAGGTGAGTCAAAATCATGATTGGGTCAGTTTTATTCTAAGAACAGCTCGATTATTAAGGTGAGCTGGTCCCTTAGGAGCTGTTCAACAAGGTCATGAGAGGCGCCGTGAGCGAAGCGTCAAGGAACGACCAGGGGCTCGTGTTGGAGGGGTACCCGAGGGATATGGAGCAGGTGGAACATTTCCAGAAAGAGGTGCGTAATTTAGTGTCTTATAAGTATACAAGTTAGTTCCGGAGGAGCTGGTCAACAAGGTCTTGAGGGGCGCCGTGAGCGAGGCGTCGAGGAACAACCACGAGCGCATGATAGGTGGACCATTTTCAGAAAGAGGTGCGTGGTCAAGATCATGGTTTATTTAGTTTTGTATGTAGGCGAGCTGCTCCCTGAGGAACTGGACAAATAAGGTCTTGAGGGACGCCGTCAGCGAGGCCTCGAGGAACGACCAGGGGCTCGTGTTAGAGGGATACCCGAGGGACATGGAGCAGGTGGATCATTTCCAGAAAGAGGTGAGTCAAAATCATGATTGGGTCAGTTTTATTCTAAGAACAGCTCGATTACTGAGGCGAGCTGGTCCCTGAGGAGCTGGTCAATAAGGTCGTGAGGGAGGCGTCAAGAAACGACCAGGGGCTCGTGTTGGAACCCCTCCAAGGAATATTTAGCAGGTGGACCATTTCCAGAAAGAGGTGCGTAGTGAAAATCATGATTTAGTTAGTTTTGTATGTAGGCGAGCTGCTCTCTGAAGAACTGGTCAAATAAGGTCGTGAGGGTGCCGTAAGGCCGCGAAGAACGACCAGGGCTGGAGGGATATGGAGCAGGTGGACCATTTTCGGAAAGAGCTGGTACGTAATAAAAATCATGATTTGGTCAGTTTTATAAGTACGAGCTGGTGCCTGAGAAGCCTAACCAAAGTCGTGAGGCCGCGAGGAATTGCCACGGGCCCGTGCAGGAGATTTTTGGAAATCTTTAGGGGCCCTGAAGCCTTATTTCTTATTTAAATATTCTCTCTCAGTTCCGCATATCCCCGCGCATGCTTCTAATGAACTACTCCAAGCTGCAACTCGGGTGGGGGTGGCGCGATGACTCAATAGCGGCGTTCCGGCGGCGTCTGGAGTTAAACTAGAAGTCTTTAGGGCTTTAGGTCTTTAAGTTCCATTCTTTAGCAAATATTTAGAAGTCCTTGGGGGCTTTGGAGGCTAATATTAATCGGCATATTCTCTCCTAGTTCCGCATATCGCCTCGTATGCTACTCCTCCACTGCTCCAAGCTGCAACTCGGCCGGGGTCGGCGGGACGACTCGGTGGCGGCGTTCCGGCGGCGTCTGGAGTTAAATTAGAAGTCTTTAGGGCTTTAGGTCTTTAGGTTCCATTCACTAACAATATTTTAGAAGTCTTTAGGGCATTAGATCTTTAAGTTCCATTCTCTAACAATATTTTAGAAGTCTTTGGGGGCTGTGGAGCCTAATATTAATCATCATATTTCCTCCCAGTTCCGCATATCGCCCCGTATGCTCCTACTGGACTGCTCCAAGCTGCAACTCGGCCGGGGTCGGCGGGACGATTCCGTGGCGGCGTTCCGGCGGCGGCTCGAAGTGTTCCGGGAACACAGCCTGCCTATGCTTCGGGCCTTGGACCAGATGCACCGCCTCGTTATAGTGAGTAGACAGTCTGTAAGTGTGCTTCTTTCTTTTTATTAGTTCTTTTAGTTCAAATTGCTAGGAATAGCCATCTGGGCAAGCTCGCTTCAGCATAGATCGAATTTTGTTATCAAGAGCAAAATTTAATATGGAAAAAAATGTTTTTGGACCTTAAGACAAGGTCAGTAAAGTTTAAAATAATGTGTTTTTATATTACCGTACACTGGTTGAGGGTTACCGCGATATGTACGCGAGAATAAAAGTGCAGCTGCCAAAGTGTAACCTATTTAGTTTTAGAGGCTGTTAAGAAAATTCAGGAGTATATTTTATAGAGGTAGATTTACTTAAGTGGGTAGACTTACATTCGACTTCGATTCAAGATCTTGAAACTTTGCCTCACTGTCTAGTTGGAGGAATATAAGATACTCTATAATTACTACTCTACTGTCTTTACTTTACAAAATACACAATAATAATTTCTCAAAATGACAAAATGTTATCTCGTTATTAAATTGAGATATTTATTTTATCTTTTAATTTTTTTTATAAAGCATGATTTTATTTTTTCAAAATTTTTTTGCTCTTTGTTTTTATTTATAAAAATACGCATGGCATGTTTCATGTTAAGTTTATGATGTTAGATAGCATAAATTATGTATCTTTATGTATCTAATTGGGCACACACATAAAAATCTAGCTAAAGGAAATTATACAAATCACGCAAACAACACTAAATGATCAATCATATCACAAACACTGCATTACTACTACTTATCTCAGTAGTCAGAATTTTAACCATCGACTTCCCTTTCATTTTAACTTCGAACTCCTCCTACGTTTTTCATATTAAATACGTTGCGGGTCCAATGACAGTATAACTGTCCCCCGAGACAAACTTGACCTTCACAGGTTGGGTTTTTATTAGCAGCCAAGCTGTAGATCCTGACTACACAGGAGTTGCAGCGGTGGGAAAGCGAGAGGTGGGAAAAGCCCGTTCCCTTTCATTTTCAATGAATCCATTCAAGGTGGACGGCGACTCCGATGCGGCTGAAGTGCAGACGGAGTTCTCCCGGATCATGCTGGAAGAGCTGGAGAAGGCTGAAGCGATCGCTGCGATGCCGCCCACGCCGCAGCCGCCCAGCTCGCAGCCGCCCACGCCGCCTAGAGCTGGTAAGATGATAATAGCTATAGTCTGGTCTGTGAGCACGTAGAATTTTGTCCAATGATCCCAAGCTACCCATCCTTATCGCTCGCACGTAATTATGTTGCTCTCGCGCTCGCACACTCACTGCGGGCGCCCGTCGCACAGTTGCGACAGCAATATAATTACGCGAGCGATAAGGATGGGTAGCTTGGGGTCAATGGACAAAATTCTACGTGCTCACAGACCGGGCTTTAGCAGGGTCATATACGGGTCTATCTATTAGTATACCATCATGGAGCAATGTAATAATAAGTATGGAAGGCGATGGATGACGGTCTTAGAAGCAAATATCATAAATAGCCGTTAGTGCAGAAAAACTTTCACAAGATGAAAAAATACATTCAAGGAAAAACATCTAAACCAATAAAATGCGCTTAACGCTTTGCATGGATTACTCCTGCTATGTGCTGGGAAACTCATAGAATTTAAAATTTCATGTTTTTTTTATCAAACTATAATTTGCAATTATATTGCTCTACTTAATATTAATAGTGTTTGTTTGTTTGTTTCTTTATCACTTCAAATGACAACTTACTAACCTTATCTTCTAGATGTATCAGCGATACAGCAGTTTGCACATGCCGTGTCCCGCATGGGCGGCGGGCTAGCCAACGGGTTCGCCAACGGGACGGTCCGCAACGGGACAGTCCGGAACGGGACAGTGCCCAACGGGTCCTTACCCAACGGGACCATGGCCAATGGGATCGCAGGAGTAGTCAATAATAAGGTATAAAATTTCATCATCATTTCAGCCAGTCCATTAAGCTTTCCCCAAGGAACGCTACAAACCACGATCTATCTTCGATCTAAGATCGTCGGTCCACCACAGTAGGTGGGCCTCTAAGAAAGCGACAAATATTTTAGGATTTAAATCTGTCTTCAAAATTATATTATGGATCTTAAGGAGAAAACTACATTGTCAAATGCCTCTGTCTGATCTTTGAAGCTTCTTTCTCTTTTAAAACTTTCAAATAGCTTTAGGTTTTGGAAACCATACAATGTATAATGGCTCGATGTTAAGTGTGACAAAGATGTTAATGGTACCTACATTGAAAATTTGGAATATTTCTAGGACTCCCGCAAGGCTCTCTTTTAGGGCCACTTTGATTAACCAAAGTAACAAATAACTTTTGTTTCCAGGTAAAGCCAATAACAAACAACGTGTCAAAAATCCCGACCGTGTCTCAGATGACACAAGACGAGGTCCGCCGCCTCTACGAGGGAAGCTCGGGCGACATCGCCACGCATATGTAGACGGTCTTAATGAGTTAGTATTAGAAAATAAACCTTGTGGCCTTATAAATACAGTTGCAGAAACAAATCCACGGATTTATCATTCTCTAGAAATATCTTTAAAATACAAACATTTAATAATAAGTCGAATGAAACAGGTCGGGGACACATTATTTCACTTGGATTAAAAACCTAAATACTTGCTAATGTAGGTTTATTTTTAGGTAATGGACTCTATGAGAGAAAAATCAAAATTATTAGAGAAAAGTGCCGAAAAAATTTTCTTTACTATAGTTATCTTTGTAAGACTAGATTCTAAATTAGAATTAGATGTGAATGTAAAGTCATAATTTAAGTAAATTACGCTAAAGTTACTAAATTACGTACAAAATAGTTACTTAAAATAAAAAAGGTCTCATAAATAATGAGGTTTTACGTTTAGAATATCAGTCTCTGTAACTTGAAATCAAACTTTTTGTTCTATGATTGGTCTAACTACGAGCACATACCTACATATTTTAAGCCAATTTAATAGCCTTTAATCTGTTGGTACTTTGAGTTTGAATTATGTTTGAGGGTCGTTTCATATTTGAGTATCTTTTTGTAATACGCGTCTATTGTTTTTTTTTGTTAACAATTTGTGACTATTTATTTAAAAATTACTTAATGTGATTTTTTTTCATTATGTTTTCTAATTCATTTAATTTTTCTTTTAATATTCGTAAAGAACTTTTATTGTTGTAACATGTCGTAATTCCACATCTAAAAACTAAAGTAAGGAAGAGTTACGCACACGACTACTTAGTGCCTTTACTTTATGTAAGATACATTTAATTAGGTTCAATTACATAATAAGATTTAATTAATTAAATTATTACTTAGGTAATGTGTACCTACCTACTTACTTATCTAATACTTAATTAAAATGTGAATTTCTAATTTATATAAGTATCTTAAGAGAGGTTTAATATAAATAATTCTAACCATATGGGCGAATATGTATATTTTTTAATGAAAATTGATTTCATTTCAAAGAAAAAGGTAAATATTAAAGTACAATCTATTTATCGAATGGAATTTTCAGAGGTATTTTCGAATTCGATCTTAAAGCCATGTATTCATTAGGCAACATTTGTTGATAAACACTGTTTATAAACTGTTCATAAACAATGTTTCATCATCTCTGTAAACAGTTTATAAACAGTCCATAAACATAGGTGATGAAACATTGTTTATGATACATGTTGCCGTGCTCCCCGCTATGAATGGAGAGCAAGTGTGGACGGCCAAGTTCCAGAAACCTGTGTTTATGGTAAACTTGTTTCACACTGATCATAAACAGTTTATCAACAAATGTTGCCTGATGAATACATGGCTTAAATCTGTGTGATACAACTTCCTATATTAAAGTACAATACCTATATTTATCGGATGGAACTTTCAAAGGTACTTGACCTATGTTTCGAATTCGATCTTAAATCTGGAACAACTTAGAAACTAATTCTTTTTTATTTAAAACTGTTTAATGTTAAAGGCAATATAGTAAGAATAAATGCCTTAAATGGCAATGNAAAGATATATTTTTGCACATAAAGTAACACCGAATGTGACGTCCGAATAGAGTTAGTTTAAGTTTAGTGAAATAATTTAAGTAAAATGATATGGGTACAAGATATGGACTGCTAATCTTTTAAAATAGAAAGACACGGGTCTGAACGTGACATTTAATTTATGAATGAGTGCATTATGTGCAAATTTTTTGCCCAAATTGTTTTTCGTTAAGGTGCCATTTTTTCATTTTGAAATCCAGTTTATAACCTGTATTGCAAACGAAAATTTATTTGAAAATATCAAGTTACCACTAATTTCCTGGGCACATATGAAGATTTATAAAAATAAAGTAAAAAAAAATCAGTGAGAAATACGCACCCACTTACTTGTTTTTTTTTAATTACGCCAAAAATGCATTTGACACAAAAGCTCTAGGTTTTTTCAAATGGCCACAATCAAATTCACTTGGAGTGCAAATTCACTTGGAGTGAGTGCCTGGGACGCTAAAATATTTTGTACCTGTAAAATAGATAAGATTTAGAATTCACGTAGCTTAGATAGGTGATAACACAATACAGGGGCCAATCTAGAGTTAGTCGTAGAGAAGAGTTAGCGTTTCCACTCTCGTACTATCGCACCTTTTTATATGAAACTACTTATAGTTTTTGCAACTCACGAAGGCGAGTGACCTTTCTTGTGTGTGTACGTGTACATTCACATAACGATAGTGTAATGTCTATCAAAACTTCTGAAAACGAACAGTAGCCAGACACCAATGTAAAGCTCACTTGCCATCGTGAATTCCAAAAACTATACTTAATTTTAACTTCGTATAGCCATATTAAATGCTCTAACTGAAGCTGTGAAAATTAGAAAAGAAACTACTTACAATAAACAATTTGTGTTGAGTAGTTTCTGTTAGATTTTTGTCGTTATATGTTTTTTAGAGAATCGAAATTTTATGAGTTGCCTTTCTTTTTTATTAATGTTTATTGTCCGCCTCGTACTTTGTTAAATGTTGTACTTTTACTTCTATAAATGTTAGTATAATAATTTATTCGCAGTGTTAAATGTGCGTTATTGTTTTCTAGTTAGTATACTTTTAAAATGCGTGCGGGTCATGCTAGTTGTTTTTATAGTTGTTGATTAATATTTATTCAATTATTTATACCTTTTATTGTTAGAAACTGTTTAATATTGTTTACCATAAACCATAACCAGCAGCTGACGAACGAAATACTGTAATACTTACTACTCAAAATGATAAACTAGATTGAAAAGTAACTGGATAACTTATTTTTTATCGAAACATTATTGTAGATTTGTTATTTTTACGTTCAATTTACGTGATCATTTTAGCTACAACTAATTAATTAATGAAATTTATAAAATACCTAATTTAGAATAACAAAACACTATGTGTTTGTAGAAACTTTGTTTACATGAAATAAAATGCACAATTTTTATAATAAATCATGATCTGTACTTATTTTAGCCTATGTAAAATCAAAGAAAAAGTAAACAACTTACTTACGTAATACGATTAAGTTTCTAACATGACTCTTCGGTAACGCTGTTACATATCAGGTAACTAAATAAAAGCTTAAAACTGTTTATTTGAATATAATGAACATACGCAACGGCTTTTATTTATTTATTTGATAAAAACAGCGATCCTGAAATTATTCCTGAAAAGCTGCTAAGGCGGGCGGGCGCCATTTTCCCGCGCGGCGGCCATGTTGCAAGTTTCCCGCGCTCTTTGGAGGTCGATTATTGGCTGGCTGGCACAGTTTCCATGGCCTTGACCGCGCGCCGCACCGCAGTTTGCCTGCATTGCTCGCGGTGACTTGACGTACGCGCGTTTCGTTTCACGCAACCGCACGCGGTCACGTTAAAATTATAAAATGGTAAGTTACACTTTTGATTTATTAAACTTTATTTTTATCACATAAAAGCTGGAGCGATTGATGTAATTTTTAATTGTAGATGTAAGTGAGTAGTAGTTGCGGATGTAAAAATAGAAGGTGTTGTATAACAGCTGGGAGACGTTTTTAACAATTTTGCGGTGGTTTCTGAGTGATTGTGACGTCAAAGTTCAATATTAGACTGCATTATGTAAAGTTAATGATGATTGTCTTTACTCCAGAGTGTTTCTTTTGCATTTTTCATTCATAATTTAGGGGAAATAAGATATGAACCTACAACTCCGATATGAAAAATGTTGAAAACTAAATTAGAAACAAATCTAACAAAACTACTTATCATCCAGTAGGTAATAACTTACCTACTCTTTATTATGAGCATCTAGAGTAGATGGTAGTTTTAATTGTCGTACCTACTTATTACAAAAGTTTCTTATCTTAGTTTCAAATCAAGGATTTCGATAAAAATCTTCATATTCATGAAATTAAAGCATTCATAATTATGATTTCTCGGTAGACAATGAAGTTAGTGTTGACCTAGGTACTGCAATGAGTTTTAATAACCATGTAAATCCATTAACAGTTTACAATCCTAGGACATTGTACCTAAATGTAGATCGATTTCATATCTGTCCTCGTATCAATTGTAAGTAAGAGATAGACAATTTTATCTCATCTATAGATTGCTAATAATAATATTTTGTCTCGTAGAAAAAAGTACTTAGAGATGCTCCTAGATAACATGTTATACTCGTACCTAGGTATTTTTTCGATATAAAGGAAGTAGGTAGTTGTTCAAGTTGATGATTTATTTACACTCTGATTAATTTTCTCCGTCTGATCAATTGTCGACTGGTGGATAATGTCATAAGTATAAAAGTAGTAGCTTTTGCCCGCGGCTTCACCCGCGTGATATTTCGTTTGTCACAGACCGTCATAAATTATAGCCTATATGTTATTCTGGGTTATAAACAATAATACTGTAAAGTTTCATCAAAATCCGTTCAGTAGTTTTTGCGTGAAATAGTAACAAACATCCAGACATCCAAACTTTCGCATTTATAATTAGTAGGATTAGTTATGTAGTAGTTACTCAGATACTGTGTATTTTTTTGTTTTAGCAAAAAATAAACAACGAAAGCAATATAATTGATCCTTAATGGACACCATTTCTGAGAAGGCATTATAAAATATTCACACGACCTTAAATACTTGGAGAACCTTTATCGATTACTTTTTAGTGGAACTCGCGCATGGTGTTCATAATATTGATACTTGTTACATAAGTAATAGTATTTACTAAGTAATATGTCGATCGATAATATCAAACATTACTGTTCTCGCACCTGGTAGTCAGGAAAAGATCGCTTCGCTGAGATTATACCTACTTTACGACTTTGGATTAGAATAGAATAGAATAGAAAGTATTTACTTATTTGTCTCAAAACAGGTTTCATTTGCAGTTTATCACAGATACAAAAAGTCATAAGAGACAAAAAGGAGGAGGAGACCCACAAACTTACACCAAAAGTCATTACTATTAACTTATGCCTTGTGAAATTGATGTTGTGCGAATTGGAGTACATTAAGCTATCACTTCCCAAACGGATTTGAATGGTTCACTCGTGCGTGCCTACCATTTCTATGGAGCCTTCCCATCACTTTTCGTTGAGGCAGCTCCGGCAACAAAGGGAGGAAAAAGAGCACTAAAATGTAGGTACCTACTTACCTAAGAACTAGTTTACGTGCAGGGTTTACATTTACGCGGAAATAGAAGGGCCAAGGGTTTCTAGGCAAGGCGAACAGGTGGACAGATGTCTAAACTATGAGGGTTCCTTGTTGAACTGCGGATCCCTAATCAAGAATTATATCAATCTGTAAATCGTTTCGCGTCGGTGAACAGAGAAACTTGTACTAATGAATCATGATAATTGTAAAGAGAAATAACTAACACTTTTCAACAGAATTGTACAATATTAAAATAAATGTTCATTGATGATAATTGAAATAATTATCTTGATTATCCGGGTAAGACTCGGCTGTGAGCCTGTGAGTGAATGTGCCTGCATTCAATATTCGAAAAATCCTCGCAAATGGCTCGCACTAACGCCCGTATTCACAAACATCGCTATGAGGTCTCACAGTGCGCGTGTACGCATAGGGTGACACACAAACCAATCACAGAGCTCTATTCAACGCTGTGTGTTCAATTTGCTGCTTCATTTAAGTAAGCATCGTTTGTGAATACGGGCGTAAGTGCTGCAAGCAATTCTAAATTGCCCCTGTCAGGAATCGAACCTTCGGGTATTCGAAGCGAGTCACACCGATAATTTAGCGTCAATAGGACATTGCCTCTCTCTTATAAAGTGAGTTTTGTTGCAAAATCGCACCTATAACAACGTCATTAAGATTCTTTAAAACAGCTTGATGACACCATCCTTATAAATATTGAGTTGGCTTTTATCAGATGATGTGCCAAAAGAATTCTATGAATCCTAATAGTAGTCGTTATGATGATTTGGTAGAATTCATTTCAATTGGGCCAATTTAAATTACAAGCGCGTGCGCACATTACGAGCAAAACAACAACAAACATAAATTATGACAATGAGTGGGTGTGTAACTTATACAGGGTGCGCTAGAAAATTATCCCAAGGATAGGTAGGTTATAAACAAGATACGGGACTAATTTTTTTTTGTCGCGGAGGAAATACTTTGCGCACCGTCACCACTGCCGGGGGACAGGGTGTTATGTGGGACTCCCGGCGCCCTGAAAAGGGCGCTGCTCCGTCCTTAAATTGACGGACGGGGTATACCCACTTAAAAAAGCTCCGCGGCGTTCCGTCATCACCCCAGTGAGGGTGTCGCGAGTATCCGACCGTAGCCTTAGACTTCCACGACAATACGGGACTAATCCCCCAATCGCTACAATTCCTGTGTAGCCAAGGTCTACAGCAAGTTTGTTCCGGGAAAGTTAAATTGTCTTTCGTCTTCTCTCCAGCGCAAAGCGGATGACAAGCGGGATAAAGGAGCAAATTACAAACAGGATAGGGAAATT